AAAAAAAAAAAAAAGATTATTTAATGTGCATGAGTGTTTTGCCTGCATGTATGTAAGTGCACTTACGTCGTGCAATGCCCAAAGATGCCAGAAAAGGGTGTTGGATCCCCTAGAACTGGAGTTACAGATGTAGCTGCCATGTGGGTGCTTGGAGTCAAACCCAGGTTTTCTGCAAGAGCAGCCAGTGCTCTTAACTGATGGGCCATTTCCCCGGCCCCTATCCATCGTCTGTTTTGTGTGTGTGAGTAGAGGTGCAAGTGTGTTGGTCAGAGGACAGGAGCTGGCTCTCCCCTTCCACGTGGCTTTGAGGCAGGGTCTCTTCTTTGTACCACTGCACTGTGCCTTGAGCTTTCTCTCTGCCCCCCACCTTGTGCAGTGATTACAGATGTTGCCACTGCATCCTGCTTTTTTGTATGTGGGTTCCAACACCAAACTCAGGTCCTCAGGCCTGTCTGCCCAGAAAGTGCTCCTGCCCACAGAGCCATCCGCTGGCCCGGTGTTCTCATCTTTCACTCAGCTCTGAATGCCACGTCTCCACCCAGGGCTAGATATGCATCCGCCCCATTCTGACCAGCCGTCGGCAGCCCGCTGTTTCAGCTTCTGATTTCACAAACTGTTGATTACGAGAAAATGTCTTCTCTAAGTAGTGCCACCCGGGGACAGCAGGAACAAGACCAGCTCTCAGACACCTTCTGGCTCTTAGATTGGGCGACCACAAAAGGTAGAGAAAAAGGGGCTGGAGAGAAGGCTCAGTGGCTGAGTGCACACTGCTCTCACAGAGGACCTGAGTTCAATTCTCAGCACCCACACAAGGCGGCTCACAACCACCTGTAACTCCAGCTCCAGGGGATCCATCCTCTTCTAGCCTCAGTGGACCCCCTCCCAGCACACGTGTACAGTACACATACATACATACCTACGTACATACATACATTTTTTTTTTTTAATTTCAAAGTAGCAGGAAGGGGTGTTGCACATCTTTAATCCCAGTTCTGGGGAGGCAGAAGCAGGCGGATCTCTGTGAGTTCAAGGCCAGCCTGGTCTACATAGTGAGTTCCAGGCCAGCTGGGGCTACAGGGAGACCCTGTCTCAAAAAGACAAAAAAAAATTTTTTTTTCAAGGTAAAGAAAAGAATTAAACCCTCAGGTAAGAGAGAAAAAAACAACTTAAAAATAAGATGATCAGAGCCAGGCGTGGTGACACATGCCTTTAATCCCAGTTCTGGGGAGGCAGAGGCAGGCGGATCTCTGAATTCAAGGCCAGCCTGGTCTACACAGTGAGTTCCAGGACAGCTGAGGCTACAGGGAGACCCTGTCTCAAAAAGACAAAAAAAAAAAAAGAGATGATCAGGGCTGGAGAGATGGCTCAGTGGTTAAGAACACTGGTTGTTCGTGCAGAAGACCCAGGTTCGAATCCCAGCACCCACATGGCAGCTAACAACTGTCCGTAACTCCAGTTCCTGGGGGATCTGACAGCCTCTTTTGTCCTTCATGGGCATTGCATGACACGGGTGCACTTACCTACACACAGGCAATACACACACATAAAATGAAAATAATAAAATACTTTTTAAAAAATGAGATGATCATGGAACTTTAATTCTCCAAACATTTATAAATGTTATTAATTTTACTTGTCAAAATTCCTAACTTGAACACTGCTGTTGGTGAACAATATGAAGTCATTTCTGTGGTAATAACTGTCTGTCTCTCCCTCCACATGTGAGGTCATTCCTAGAAACTGTTCACATGGAACAGAAAAAGGATCCCAGCTAGGTAGAGAGGTCAGAAAGCAAGCTGCTTGACATAAAATATTCACCAGAACTATTCAGTGGCTCTGCTGTAAGGACTCAGGTACCCAAGTGATTAATGTCAGGATGGCTCCTGGGTATGCTGGCATAGCTAAACAACAAGCATCATGTTAGGAAAGGCTCTGTGGGCCTCATGAAATCAGATGTAATAGATAAGGGCTGCTATGCACACAGCCCAAGGGCCTTCCCACAGCAGTTTCCCTTTGGCCAGCCAGGTACCTGGACCAGAGTCCAGAGTCAAAGGTCCCACTGAGCCCGCAGCACACTAGAACTTCTGCCCTGTCTAGCTGTGGCTTAGAACCCAATGAGAGCCTCTCCCTCTCCCCCTCCCTATCTCCTCTTCCCCTCCCTTTCCCCTCTCCCCCCTTTCCCTTCCCTATCTCCCCCCGCCCCGCCCGCCGACACACACCCTCATAACCACCATCCTCTCAACTTCTAGATCACCTTCTTTAGGTGCCCACCACATCTGGCCAGTACTTTTTTTTCAGCATGCAAAGTGGGAGGCTTCATTATGGCTTTAGTCCACCGTCCTCTCCCCCATCTGCTGCCACCCCCCCACTCCCCCACTCGACAGCCTCCTTTCCACTTCCTGTGGCCTGAGCTCGTGTTCTCCACTTACCCTGTCCTGTTCTAGTTCCAGTCTGTACCCTGTCTCCCATCCATTCACATACGTACATATAAACATTAAAATTTAGGGTCTGCATGTGAGAGAGCATGCAGCTTTTGTGTGAGTCTGGGCCATTTCCCATACTACTTCCCAGATCCTCCACTCTCACAGTATTCCCATCCTCGGTTCATCTGTTGCTGGACGTGTAGGGTTCATTCCTCGTGGCTGTGACTAGAGCAGCAATGAACGCAGATGAGTGGGTGTCTCCAGAGCAGGATATGAAATGCTCCGGGTGGATGCCTAGGAGTATTTTAGCTGGGTCATGTGGAGATCTAGTTTTGATTTTTGAGACGCGTCTACACTGGCTTTCACAGTGGCTAAGGGTTCTTGTCTAGTGTTTACCAGCATTTGTTATCTTTTGGACAAAAGCCATTCCTGCTGGGTGTGGTGCCCAGGCCCTCAAAGCCAGCACTGAGGAGGTGGGAGCAGAAGCTGCTGCCGCCTGGCACCCTTCGGGAAGGGCTCCCTGAGGGGCAGGGGAGAAACAGGTCCAGTGGCCTGCACCACACCAAACATCCCAGGTGCTGCTTCCCCCCTGGGACCCAGATGCCCCAGTTCCTCTCCTGCTCAGAGGTCATCCTCAGTGGGAATTGTGGGCACCCCCGTGTCACCTACTTCCAAACAGTAACTGGTAAGGGTGACGTCGCTGGGCACATGCCCCCCCCCCCCCCCCCCCGCATTCTCAGGTCATAGCTATTCAGTATGCATCTAGAACGGGGGAAGTCAAGTAGGGCACCTGAAAAAAACACAATAAAACAGCCACAGAGGGAGAGATGAGTGGCACGAGGACCTGCTAGAAGCTGGACCTTGTCCTGGCTTTGCCTTGCTTCATCCAGATTCGGGAGGTGACCTGCTCGGCCTCCTTCTGTCTAGGCGCCTTCCCCTAGAAGGAGCTTATACCAGTAGGCTTGCAGCTCTGGACTCCTGGATAGGGCTCCAGACAACAGGGATGGGTCCCGGGGTTGATGGTCTGATTCCTCTGGGCTGGCCTGCCCGTCCTGTGAGTCAGGACGGTGGTTTTCTGTGGATTTTGTGTATGGCTGCGTCTGTGTATGTACATGTACACGTGTGTGGGATCCAGCAATGGATGTTGGGTGTTTTCCTCAGTTTACACCTTAATTTTTTAAAAAATATTTTATTTTTATTTTATGTGTATGACTTCACTTTTTAAAACATTCATTGAAATTATGCGACTCTGTGGGCTGGTGCACTAATGCTGGTGCCTGTGTGGGCTTCCCCTGGAGCTGGAGTTGCATGTGGCTGTGAGCCACCTGACATGGGTAGTGGGCACCAAACTCCGGGAGCATTATGTGCTCTTAACTGCTGAGCCATCTCTCCTGCTGTCCCCTACACCTTTTTTTTTTCTTTTCTTTTTTTTTTTTTTTTTTTTTTTTTTTTTTTTTTTTTTCAAAGACATGTAGTCTTGGCTGGGCAGGAACTTGATATGGAGACCAGGTTGGTCTTGAACTCACAGAGCTCCTCCTCCTGTCTCTGCCTCCCTAGTGCTAGGACTTAATTTTTGAGAAATTTCTGTTATTTAACCTGGACCTCTGGGATTGAACTAGCCTGGCTGGCCAGTGGGTCCCAGGATTCCATTGTCTCTGTCTCCCCCACACTGGGGTTACAAATGTGCACCACCACTGGCTCCTAATTCAAAGAATTAAAAGTGGTGGTTTTTTTTTCAGACAGTCTCATGTAGTTTGGACTTTCCTCAAACTCATGTGTAGTCAAGGATGACTTTGAACTACTCCTCCTGCCTGTGAGTTGCAGGTGGGGCTGGGGTTACAGGTAGGCAATGCACTAGCATGTCCAGTTTTATGCAGTGCTGGGGATGGAACCCAGGGCTTAGTGTGTGCTGTATAAGAAGTGCTCTACCCACTGAGCAACATCCACAGACCTGTGTTGTGTTTTTACAATAGCTGTGCTAACTACATGAGGCCACAGCTTTTGGTCCCACAGGCTGATGCTGAGCATCATGGGCTTATTAAAGCTCTGCCATAAAACAAAAACAGGACTTTGAGCAGCCAAGCTGGGGGCAAGTCATGGCAGGTGCCAACCCTGAGCAGCCTTTACTACACCCTCGCTGTCCCAGGCTGACACCTCGTAGAGGATGACACTCAGTGAAAACCAACCCAACAGGAACACTGAACAAAAGAAAAGATGGGCGTGAAGGGCGCTGGGGTTGGGCGCGGACTGCTCCGCAGAGGACCTGAGTTTGGTGGCTCACAACCACATGGAACTCCAGCTCCAGGGGATCTGACACCGTCTCCTGGACTCTGCAGGCACCTGCACTCATGTGCATACACATACACACATAGTTAAAAATAAATCTTTCGAGGGGGCCGGAGAGATGGTTCAGCCCTTAAAAAACTGGCTGTTCTCACAGAGGACCCGGTTTGATTCCCAGCACCCACATGGTGGCTGACAACTGTTCTTCTGACCTCTGAGGGAATTGCACATATGTGGTGCACTAACATACATGCAGGCAAAACACTCATACACATAAAAATAATCAATAAAGCCAGGCGTGGTGGTACATGCCTTTAGCCCCAGCACTCAGGAGGCAGAGGCAGGCAGATCTCTGTGAGTTCAAGTCCAGCCTGGTCTACATAGTGAGTTCCAGGACAGCTGGGGCTACAGGGAGATTCTGTCTCAAAAAGAATAAAAAAAAGGAGACAATATTTTGAGTTTGAGGTCAAAGCACCCAGCACACACCAAGGCCCCTGCCTCTAAAAGACCAAAACATAAAAGAAAAGAAAAGAAAAGAAATAAAACAACAAAAAAACAATAAATCTTGGGCTGGAGAGATGGCTCAGCGGTTAAGAACACTGGTTGTTCTAGCAGAAGACCAGGGTTCGAATCCCAGCACCCACATGGCAGCTAACAACTGCTCCAGTCCCCAGTCCCAGGGGATCCAACATCCTCTTCTGACCTCCGCGGGCATTGCAC